TTAAAGAGATGAAGAAGGTCACTTCATACTGGTAAAGAGAACAATCCAGCAAGAAAATATAATGATAGTAAATATTTATGACCCAAACACTGGTACACCTAATTACATAAAACAGACACTACTTAAATTAAAAACTCAGACCCTATTACAATATTTATGTGATTTCAGATTACCTCGAGGGCTGATAGGTTATCCAGACATAAATTCAGTAGACCCTTTGAACCTGAAAATGTTATAAATCAAATGAAATTAAGAGATTTCTATGGAATATTTTATCCAACAACAACCAAATACATTTTCTTCTTAGCAGCCTGTGGAACCTTCTCCAAAATAAACCATATCATAGGCCACAAAGCAACTCTTAGCAAATAATATATAAATATATATAAAATAATAATAATAATGTATAAATATCTAATTTCCTGCCTGTTATTGGATAATAATGGAATGAAATTAGAAATTAACAAAAATTCTACAGACCTATAATGTTTTGGAAAGTCTAGCTCAGTTGCAAGGTTGTGGAAATAAACCCTAACTCTTGACAGGAGGATTTACTAAGAATATATGGCCATTATAATATATGTAATAATAATACATATATTCCATATAGTAATAATAATAAATAATAATACTATTTATGCAATATATATTATATAGTATTATTATACATAGTATTATATATACATATTTTTATATAGGTAGTATTACTATATCTTAAAAAATATAGAGAAAATCATGTTATTTATAAAAATATGTATAGTATTATTATCAAATATAATATACTTTTAGTTATTGAATACAAAATTTATTTCTGAACTTGCTAAAATAAGAAGGAAGGTAAAATTAAATGCACTATCAGGATGAATGACAAATACCAGTAAATTCAGTGTATAAAATGTATTTTAATTATACATGAAAATTACAAAGAATTCAAAGAATGCCAAAAGAGTAAAACTAAAATGTATTCCACATGTAATTAGCCAGAAGTAGCCATTGTTAACCTTTAAGTTGTAAAACATTCTAACATCTTTCTATGACTGTAATGTAGATAGAATAGATGAATATTAACATAGGTGAAAGACATAATTATATGTATTACTTTGGGATAATTCTATAAATCTAATACAACCCAGCATTTTATTTATGTTTTTTTAAAGATACTGAATGAAAGTACATTGACTTTGAAATAACTATTTTATATTGTAAGACATATTATGCACTAAATGAACTTCCTCTAAATGTAAAAAACAAAATTAGGAACATTAAGAGGTTTCAGCAATGTTTACTATCTTTTTATCTTTCAAACCTTATAGGATTGGTTGTTATGAAAAATAACAACGTAAACAGTGTTACATCTCTTTGCAGCTTCCTTCTCCTTACTTTTAAGTCTCTGTTCATTATAGGATTTTCAGACTGATATAACAATAGCCAGGCCTCCTACTAGAGTTTAATTTCAAAACCATTGCAATGATGTAGATGAAAAGCTTAAAAGTCTGAAACTTACACAGGGAAAAACAGGGAACCAAGAAACCACAGACAATATGCAATCTTTGTTGGAATACTCTACTCTTCCTCCCTGAAATGTTACTAAATGTCCCTTACTATAGTTTTTCTTCTTAGAATTTGGTTTATGATTATATGGGGAGTGTCATCAAATTTCAGATTAGTTCCTCAGTTCAGTGTGTATTTGTTTGTGAAACTTTATCTTGATCCCAATCAGGCAGTCTCTTGTTATATCTATTTCTGATAGCACTTGCTTACTAGACAAAAAAGATAAGGGGCATATTTTAGTTTGCATTTCTCTATATTTGGAGTATTAGTGAGAATTTTGAGGCGTTTGCTAATCTTTTTTTTTTTTTTTGTACTGTGGATTGAACCCAGGCACATTTAACTACTGAGTCAAGTCCCTAGCCCTTTTTTTATATTTTATTTGGAGACAGGGTCTCCCTGAGTTGCTTAGGGCCACACTAAATTGCTGAATCTTGCTTTGAACTTGCTATCCTTCTACCTTAGCATCCCCAGCCACTGGGATTACAGGCTTGTGCCACCATGCCCAGCACTAATCCACTTTTATGACTTTTTTGGGGTCCAGAGGAGTATTAAAAGCCCCCAATGCTGCTTTACAAAGTTCCTGTTTCTGTCCATGATCACCTAACTTTAGAGATATATGATATGAAGCTAGATATTTTTCTCACATGGTTGTTGCTACTGGAGATTTTCTGGTTTTATTCTTTTTTGTTCATTTTGTTATCTGATGGGTAAAGGAGGAAGTCTGTAAATACATCTTTATTCTCCACTAACCTATAAACCTAAGGCAGTAAGTTTTTAAAGAAATGCTTTCCACATAATGGAGAATTCATCATTCAGATCAATAATGTCCTCAATTCCAGTTTAGAAAGAGATGTAGAAAATTTTTTTATAAAACTGTTTTATGCAAAACTCCTCAGTAACATCCTACCTAGTAGAGATGTCCAAACATTAAGGTTTATCTAAGCATGAAAGAGATCTTAAGGTAAGGAGTTAAATATGGTAAGATAAATTGATTTCTGACTAAGCCATGATAAATTACTAAGATAAATTAAAGAAGATTAATTGCTAAGAAAAATAACTAGCTAAGATAAATTGCTTTCTTAACGTAGTATAAAAAATAAGACTCAGAATATCTAGAGTAGTACATGGTTAGAAAGCATACTTAACCTAGTATTTTGTATATGTACATATATGTATATATCAACTTAAGGAATCTTTCTAAAAATGTAGCAGATTCTGATTTCAGTAGATCTTGGATAAGGCTCCCAATTCTTTATTCCTAACTAGCTCCCAGGTGGTAGTAATATTGTCCACATTCAGATTACACTGTTACTAACAAAGTTCTCAAAAACTACATACTCAGAACTCCTGTACTTGAATGAAAACATGAGGCAAGGATTGGCCTAATTATGTTTGCAATCCTATTACTTAGTGATGTGCCTTAAATAAATGTCTACCCAGAAATATTTTCTTATTAAATAAATAAATTATATACAACCGGAGATATGAAAAATTGCGCTCTATGTGTAATAAGAACTGTAATGCATTCCGTTGTTATATATATATTTTTTTAATTAATTAATCATTAAGTGCATGACACTAGGTGCATGGAATACTGGTATTTTATATTAGTAGATGAAGAAGAAGACTACTTCTGTTTTAGAACCCAACTAATTAGGACAATAATAAGATTACTATTTCATCTCAAAAGTCTAAAAGCATAATTAAAATTTTGTTCAGATGCAAAATTACTGTAATCACACAGCCACTTTGGACAATAAAATATTACTTCCCATATACTTAAATCCTCACTTGAGCTTACAATATCAATATTATTTAAGTGAAATAAATCTACACAGTGTTACTTGTTATTCATTCTGGAAATAGAAATGAGTAATATTTCTGTGGTGCAACTGATTTAAAACAGTTTGACATCTTGGTAGGACTACCCAATTGAGTTTGTTGTGAAATATACCCCCAGATAACTATATAGATTGTCTCTTTGGACTAGTAGTTCTCTGTTGTTTGGCTGCACTTTAGAATTACCTTAGAAGTATTTTGGTTTGTTTGTTTGTTTTTCAATCTTAGTACTCTGAGACTGTAGGGATAGCTCATTGTAGAGCACAGACTTATCATGCACAAGCCTCTGGGTTCAATTGCTAGCACGGAAAAGAAAAATTCCAATGCTAACTCAACTTTTACCCCTGAGGTAGAAGCCAAGTATTTTTTAGGCTTAACAGACATTTCAGTGTGCAATCAAATTTGAACATCATTACTTGACCATTAGCTTTCTGAAATCAGGATTAGTTTTTACATTTATTTTATGACTATTAATACTGTTAAATGAGTAGCCAAAATATAGGATGGATTTATCATAATTAGCATAGATAGAAAAAGTCAGCAGACACATATCCTACTTCCACTTCTGTACAAACTACCTGTGTAACTTTGAGTAAATTATTTAACTACTTTGTACTTCAGTTTTCCCATCCAGAAAATAGAAAGGCAAATCTAATAAGATCCCTAGTAGCTCCAAAATTTTATGGTATATAAACCTAACCTCTGGGGCTGGGATTGTGGCTCAGCAGTAGAGTGTTCGCCTACCATGTGTGAGGCCCTGGGTTGCATCCTCAGAACCATAAATAAATAAATAAATAAATTGTGTCCAACTACACCTAAAAAATAAATATAAAAAATAAAAATAAACCTAACCTCTACAAGTATCATAGCATTATTGTGACAAAAGAACCTTAAGCAGTCATTTATTTCACTCCTTGAGTTTAAGAAATACATATAAAATTAATACTGAAAAATGTAAAAGTCTAAAACATGAAATTGAGCATAAGATATTGACTCAATAATAGGAAAACATTAATTGAGAGTCTAAAAGTTCTCATTTGAATTCTACTCTTCCTCCTTCTAGTTTGTGAGCTTGTGAGCAAGTGTTTTTAATCTCTCTGAATCTATTAATTAAAAATGAATGAGTCTGTTTCAATATATATAAAATTAAATTTATGAAATATTCAGCTTGTAGGATTGATACATTTATTAAGAGATCAGATCATATCATTAACACATAGATAGTGGGCAATTTGATTTAATTTGAGTATATATTATATGGTTGAAAAGAACTTCACATATTTTGTAAAAGTACATATAAACAGTAGTTATAAATTCTTAAAGTTTATAACTTTAAGGTATTTCTTGTGTTTCACTTGCTTTCAACAATTTGATGTTTGTATCCTCATTTTTAATATTTAATAAATATCCAAAACTGCAGTGTTTTTGATCTGGAGTGAGCCTCTTCCATGAATTGCCTTCAATTTTTTCTCGTTCATTGTTAAAAAGAATCTATATCCTCACTATATAGGAAGTATGTGTTTACTATATATGAAGTATTTGTGGACTTGGATGTTTTGAGCAAGTAAAGCAAGTCTTTCTGAATGTGACAATAGTTTGCTTTCTTTCAGGAAACTCTGATAGACTGGTGTGATGAAAAGGAACTTAATTTAATATTAACAACTGGAGGAACAGGGTTTGCACCACGAGACGTCACTCCAGAGGTGAGATAGTACATGTCTTTTTCATTTTCAAGGAGTAATCATATTATCTTCCATCCTTTTTACTATTTTTTATATTATTTTTATAATTTTGCTAGGTAAAAGAAATGACTTATAAGAACACAAAAATGTGGCTACAGAAGAATTATGAAAAATGTTTCTTGAGTTTTTATTTTGGACTTAAAACTAGAGATGATAGAATCTGAAGAAAACTGAACAGTTCTAAAAGTTAATCATTCATTTGCTTGGTAGTCTGCAAGTTCAGCATTACCAAAGAAAATTATAAAAAAAATTCTGTTAACATGGCATCTGATCCAATTCAAAATTGGATCTTATTCATTTGTCTCAAAGTATAATAGGATAACTTTAATATAATATTTACACCAATATTACAGTATTATTGATGAAAAAGGGTTACCTTTTTAAATGTGAACTACATTTAAATGCAGACTTTAATTTGACAAAGCAAAATTTCTAGGCTTCCTGATACAAGAATTGTCTTCAACCTTTGCACAGGAAGAGAAATTAGGAAAATAGTAAAGAGTAAGCAGTGTCCACTAATATAAAAGGAAAAAAGGTCTTTATTTTCCTTTAATGAAGCCATAAATTTCAGGTGAATATTTGAAATCATGTGGAAACTTACATTACGCTTGGGATGGTGTTTGTATTACCCTTTCAGAAAAGTGTTTCCTACTAAATGTTAATCAAGTCCTATGTTCAAATCAGTACACTATAGTATATACTGCCTTATTAACAGCAAGATATTTTTCTTTGCATTTATTAAATAATTACTGCCCTCCTTATGCTGATACAGTGGTTTTCAAACATTAACTAAGCATGAAAATCTACCAGATGACTTTTTAAAACAGATTTCTGGACCCCTCCTCTAGAGTTTTTGATTCAGTGAAAATGTAGTATATCCCAAGATAGATTCACAGAGTATACTTCTAAACTTTGAGAACCACTACTCTAATATATGAAAAGCAATTTTCTAAGACAAGTGGTAAAATATTTTCTGTTTTTCTGTATAAATATTATAAATTTATTACTATAATTATGATTATAAGTAAGATAGATTTGCTTTTAAAGCAATCACAAGAGTTGTACTAGGAGATTGTTAATTTCAACTGTACAAACAGGAAATTCAGTTTTTCACATTTATTAAGTTTCTGGATCCTAATGGGAAATGGTCCTTTGGTCAGTTTTTACATTTTGTTTACATTGTGAGACTAACTAAAAAAGTACAACTGGGCAGGAAACCATCTTCTACAGAGGTTTTTTTTTTTGGTGTGTGTGTGTGTGCGTGTGTGTTCGGTTTGGTTTGATTTGATTTGGTTTGGTTTGGTTTATAAGAAAGTTGACTATACATATAAAGGCATTCATTTTTGTAATTTGGGTATTCAGTTTTTGAGGTCTATGACCTTGGGTTTGTATGGTGGTTTGATATTCTCATACTACTACTTACTTTTATATTTAAAGTTTAAAAAATTACCACAGGTTTCATTTATAAACAAATAGCATTATTTTTAATTGTAAGGAAATAATTTACATCACAAGTATCTGGTGTCCTGTGAATTTCAAGTTAATACCAAAATCCTAAGCTGAAAATCCAAATCTTTGAATTCTGGTTCTGCTACTGACTAATAAAGGTGATCACAGATAGGTTGATTTTACTCACACTAATGATAACAAACGTGGAAATTTTTTTCACACCAGCCACTTCAACTCTTCAGACAACAAATGTTCTTTGATATATTTGAATTCAATTCTGACACTACCTACCACCTACCTGGAGTTATAGTCAGACTCCATATTTTTAAAGGCTCTGTACCACAGGCTGGCTTCATTTGACAGGCTAGTCTCTAGTATTGGGTCTCCAGGTTACCCACACTTCTGTCCTACTTTACTACAAAGTCTATGGGTTTCCCTTAGCCTCCCCCTATCAGATTTTATAATTAGCTGGAATGGCTCACAAAACTATGGAAAATAATTTCTGTTTCCAGTTTATTATAGGGTTACAACTGAGGAACAGTCAGTTGGAAAATAGTCATAGGGCAAGGAGGGAGAATTAGTGAAGTCCCATGCCCTCTTCAGCCACAGTACCTTCTAGCACCTGGAGGTGTTCACCAATTCATGAGCTCTGTATATCTTATTGGTTAAGAGTTTTAGAAAGCTCAATCCAGCCCCACCCCCTAAGTGGGTGAAATTGAAAGGTCCAACTTTCTTTTTACTTGGTATTTCATATGATAAGCAACATCCTGAGGCTATCTACACACACACACACACACACACACACACACACACACACATGAACATATATATAAACAAAAGCCATATTTTTGTGTTATACTATACTAGTTGTTTAACCACTCTGTGCCGTAGTTTCCTTAAAATCAGGAAAATAAAAGTACCTACTTACCAAGGTGACTGTGAGCATTCAGTGAGAACTATTCGTGGCATTTTATGTAAGAATTAACTTATAAGGTTTGAATATTTTTTGTTAATTGTTCTGTAACTGCCAAATTTGTTAGTTGTTTCTTTTTTATAACTATAAAAGACAAATATAGTCATAGATTCAAAGCATGTCCATAAAATCTTTACTATCTTGTTAGTTTATTTCTTAATTTTCATAGTTACGTTTCAAAATTGATCTTTCCCATTTACATATTAATCTTGAATTTCCGCTGTTCTAGTATCTGTTTATTTTTCCTTTTTTGATGGGCATTACAATTAGTTTACAAGTAATTAGTAATTACTTGAATATCATAGAGATTCTCATCCTTAATGCTTTGGGTAAAGTAATATTATAATTTTTTAAATATTGCACTTAAAGTATACATAAATTTGTCTTAACTGTGTTTGAGAAAGGTTAATTTATCTGATTGGTAATAACTTGATTCTGTTAAAGGTTTACTTCACTTTGTATTTTACATATATAAATTCATGAGGTAGGAATACATGTGATAGGAATATGTCAAAATGAATCCCACTATTGTGTATAATTATAATGCACCAATATTTAAAACTAATTAAAAATAAACAAAAGCAATAAAGAACCCACAAAATAATTCTGATTTCTCATTTTCTTTATACCCTTAAGTAGGTAACAGTCTTATAATATTTATAATATAATCAAATACAAATTTAGAAATATTGTTCTGGACATGATTTACCTAGTTGTCTTTAATGTGTCTGTCTTTGATAGTTGTGCCTAAAAGAAAAGAAACTGTTTCTAAATATATTTACCTGTAAATATTTTCAAATAAAGTTAGAAGTTACTGACTTTTAAGTTATTGACTTATTAATTTGACAAAGTAATGTAAAATGTCTCCCTTAAATAAATACTAATATTTTACAGTCAATAACTAGTTTGAGATACAGCAATTTGTATACGGGGTAAAAGCGGGAGTTCATAATCCACGTGAATCAACCGTGTAATATGATGTATTAAGAACTATGTAATGTTATGAACGTCCAATAAAAAAAAAAAAAAAAAAAAAAATAACTAGTTTGATCTATTAACACATATGACAATTGTGGATCTTTGGGTTGTTAAAGGAGAAAATGAACATGGGAAATGATAAAGTGAATGAAACAAAACTACCTCAAGGAGCAGGGGCTGTAGCTCAGAGGCAGAGAGCTTACCTAGCATTTTGAGGCACTGGGTTTGATCATTAGCACCACGTAAAAATGAAACAAATAAAATAAAGACATGCTGTCCATCTACAACTACAAAAAAAAAAAAAAAAAAACCTCAAGTGTCTGTCAGTGAATATGAACTCTAAAGGATATCAATTTTTTTTTATCAAGTTAGAATTCTTCCCACATCTAGTAAAAAGTAATAGCAAGTTTAGTAAAGTTTATCTTGTTTTCCATGTTTTAGGAATAAGGTTATCAGAATTAGTTTCCCTAAATAATGGATTTGTTTATATTTTTAGACCTTTTTTTCATAGAATATGGTTCACTCAATATATACATGCCTAAATTTCAGATGCTATCAAAACTTATGTTTGATAACATAAACACAAGAATATATTACACTATATTCTTGAAATATAATATATATTTTTATAAGTTATTGACTTATAAAACAGTGAAAGCTAGAAAATTCATTGTCACTGATGAAGTGCTGTTAATTGTAAAATTCAGTAAAACTCATTGCTATACAGATTGTTTCTATCACTTAAAAGCAATGTGTATCTAACAAATGTACTATCATGTGAAGAATCTTTTATTCTTAAAAAAAAAATAGAAGTTTAGGACTGGGGTTGTGGCTCAGAGGTAGAGCATTTGCCTAGCATGCTTGAGGCACTACTGGGTTCAATCCCTGGTACCACATAAAAATAAAAGTACTGTCTCCATCTACAATTAAATTTTTTTTTAAAAAAATGGAAGTTTAGTTATAGTTTTATAAATCTTGATTAGAAAATTAAGATACATATGAAGTATATATGTAATTATTAAAAAGTGTTTGATAGTGTCTGATGTATTCTGCTGTCTGTCCTATTCTCTACTATCCCCACTCCCCTCCCCTCCCCTTTTCTATCTCTACCCCTTCTACTGTAAATCATTTCTTCCATTTGTATTGTCTTGTCTAGAATGGCATTATGTCAATAAATGGAAGGGTAACTGATGTGATACAGCAATCTGTATACGGGGTAAAATTGGGAGTTCATAACCCACTTGAATCAAACTGTGAAATACGATGTATTAAGAACTATGTAATGTTTTGAACGACCAGCAATAAAAAATAAATAAATAAATAAAAAGTGTTTGATAATATTCATATTAAATTCAAAATATTAAATTGTTTAATATTTACAGATAAAAAATAACTTTCAACCCTTAAGAGTATTTGGGTATAGCAGAATTAAGGATTATATACTAATATATTATTATCATCGTAAATTAAATAGCTTAATAAAAGTCTATTGTATGCTTATGTCTCATCCACTCATTTATTCCTCAAGCTTTTTTTTTTAAGTTGTTGATGGACCATTTTT